TGCCTTGACCAGTTGGGGGGAAAGAAGAGAGAGAAAGAGAGAGAGAGAGACAGAGAGAGAAAGAGAGAGAGAGAGAGAGAGAGACAGAGAGAGACAAAGAAAGAGAATTTAGATCATATGATTCTATAATCTTGAATGTGAAACTCCAATATGATTCTTTCTTCATCTGATTGAAGAGGGGAAGCATATGCTTCCACCCTTCAAGTCTTTTGAATGTCTGCAGTTGGTTCATAAATGCAGCTGTGAGGAGAACACATTACTGCCATTTAAGCATCCTTCTACTGGTTTCCGATTGCCTTTAGAATTCATTTTAAGATTGAATTGATCACCTAGTGAATAAGTCATTAAATTGATTAGTTCCACTTTGTATTCCCCCAAACTTCATATGGAGGATAAGGATTAACCTCTTAGGTCATTATTTAGTATTTTTATCACTTCCTGTTATATCGTGATGGTGATGAACACAGTCTCATTATTAGTGGTGAAACAATTAATGGGATCAACATGATACCAGGTCGTTGTATAGGAGCTCATTAGGACTTCTTCTTTCTCAACACCACATGTTAACACATGACAAAAATTAAATTCATTTTTTTTTATAACATAACATAGCAAAGTACCATCTCCAAGTAAACTGAGCATGTCCATCCACTAAGGAAGTTCATGAGATGTGGCTGAAAGCTTCACAAACACAGAGTAAATAGACCTTTTGTTGAGAATTAGGAACATGTCCCCAGTTATCACAGACTGTGTACTATAAATTAATAATGTTATGTTTCATTACTGTAGCTTTCACACCACTGTGCATCAACGACATTTAAATCCCCTCTTTATTTTTACTTTCTTTTTACTACTTTTTCACTCCCTATCTGTGTTGTCTTTTCTTTCTACTTTGTCATTTTCATTCCCTTTGTATCACCTGTCCACCCACTGCTTTCATGTTTTACTGCTATCATTTTCAATTCTCACCTGCCTCGCCCACTTTTCTGTAACAGTGAATTGGATTCTTTATTTCCATCGCTCTGCTCTGACTTTACCTATTGAATTGAATTTCTCTACATTACGCCCTCTTCATTCCACCTGCCATTATCTTGATAACCACATATTCCTCTTCCACTCTGTTGCTCTCTTTCTAGCCCCCTCTCTTTCTCATGCAATTTCACTCTTTTTTCCCATGTAAATCAAGTTTCTTTCTCATCATATTCTTCCCAGATTCTGAGCGGCGTGTTGCTGGAGGTGTTGTCTGAAGATTTCCCAGAGTTCTTCACTGCAGAGGTACAGATGGTGTGGACCAAACTGATGGGAGCGGTATACTGGCATGTGACAGGGGCCTACACAGAGGTGGGCTGGCTCCAGGTCTCCAGCTCAGCGGTGTGAAGAGTTTGGAGAAAGAAGGAGTTCTGTGAGGATGGTTTCACAGACATGGACAAGATTAACGTGGTAATCCGTGCAACTATGTACTTTATTTTGGTGACATTTTGGTGCTAAGCATTCATTGCTGTGGTGTTTCTACATCACACTTCCCAGAGATCACTTGGACACCAAACAATGTAGCCAAACAACATTTTACTTTCCTCTTAATGAAGTTTTAGCTAATGTAAGTGGAGCTTCAGTCTATGTTTTTAGCCACGGGCGCTATCACTGCTAATGCTAACTATCCGGTTCTTCTACTGTTTATTCCAAAAAAAAACAACTGTTGCTACCAAAAGCATTAAACGCATCACTTCCTGTGTAGCATGGGATCATTACAGAGCAAATCCAAAATCTTTAATAAACTACTCGATTTAATTACTGTTCTGTTTCACATTCACTGACAGTTGACCCTTCACTAAGCTCCCTTAGTTACAAGGCCTGTCAAGCTTTCAAACCTAGAGTACCTAGAGATTAGCCACTCATAACTGTCATTTTTAAAACAATGATTCTTTGATTTCAGACACAGGTAGGCTTTTGCTACCTCTGTTCAAGATTTTATCAGCAATCGCTAGCTAGCTAATTAATGTTAGCTAAACAAGTTATTTGTTAATGCCGTCTCCAACCAACACATTTAAACAAATACCCTGTATTAGTGTTAGGGTTGCCACCCATCCTGTAGTATACAGTCCCTTATTGAAAAATAACATACATTGTCCCTTACTATATCAGTACAGGACGCAACTGGTCCTGTATTTTCCTGCTCTCATGTAGATGCTACATTTTCACATGCTTTGAATGACATTTGAAATTATGAAACCAGAAGAGTTTCATGTGACAAGTATTGGATCACAATTTGTGGAAGACAATGACACCTTGAATGACAACTTGTCGTCATCACCCTGGTTACGGAGAAGCTGATGTGCGTTTTTCAAAAAAATGTTGGTGAATACCTCTAGCTAAGGTCCGCCCATAAAAACAAAGAGGGTGTTTTTCTTGTGGATATGAATGGCAGACGGTTCAGGCTTGTTAGTGAGAAGGAGTACTGTGGTGGACTGTCTGACCTGAAGCAAGATTCTGCAAGGGACGTAAATTGATGCATTAAAATTCACCAGAAAGCAGGAAATTAGTTAACACCCAAAATCTGATGGGTGAGGACCCCGAGACCTGATACTGTCCCTTATTTCTCCACACTCAAGGTGGCAACCCTAATTACTGTATGTGCTCTTAGGTTACATAAGTGCTACATGTTATGCTAAAAAGCTAAAGCTGAACGTCCAAAGTAAAAAGACATGGCATCTTCACCAGCTGATCAAACATGTAGAACACATGGAAACAAAGAAGGAGGTTGTTCTTGTATTTCAGTGTAGCATTGTATATATTGCTCTTACTGCAGCTTCTTTCACACTGCTTTTGCATGTGGAGAAATCCAAAGCTTGACAGGCCTGCTGTGCCTAGTTACAGATAATCTAAAGTTATGTTGGACAATCGCTGTTCAGGGTAGGGTTTTAGTGAAGGGTCAGCTGCAGATGGCAGAATTTATTTGTATGAAAATGTTGCGGATTATTACTTTACAGAGTTCATTTCTGTGGAAACCTGCAGTGAGAGAAGCATCTTCCGGCTACGCCGCACAAATGTATACACCTCATGATATTCTGAAAGAGAGATTAAGAAATGTGTAGACAAGAAATGATTTTTAAGCTCTGAGAGGGGGGCAGTTAGTTGTTGAAGCCCTGGCTATGGGACCATGGAGCTGCTGACTGTTAATAGATTCTCTTTGTGTCCTACTACAGTATGTTTAGGGGACCTGCGCCCCTTTCTTTCTCTATTGATGCATTGCGTGCTCTTAATGTCTTGTTTAACTTTACAGAGGTGTTGTTTGTATAAGTGTACAGTGGGCAAGTGTGCATACTCTTCTGCCTTTGTTTACAACTCATTGACACGTTGATCTGTTGACGTGTTAAAGAGGGCTGTTTTTTCTTTGCTAAAAGTCTTGGACTCGCAGCAATGTTTTAAGTTTTTTATTTGCCACTTTGTCACTTTCATTACACAACATTGTGAAAGTGAGATGGAAAATATCAGCCTGTGGACACAATCAGCAACCACACATGTACACATCCGCACATAGGCATGCTATAAGACCTTCCCTATGCTAATATTTACAGGACTATCCATTAGTTTACCTCTTCAAAACCCCGTCAGAGAGACACGCTGCATTAAAGGCTCCATTAAGGGCTTTGGAAAGTCACTCTGGAGGTCTGCGAAAAAAAAACATGTCAGCTTTAGAAGTGCCATGAATCTGTCTCTGTCCAATCTAACACAGTTTAATTTTTCCTCACAGTTTCTCTCTGAACTCATATTCAGACATCATATTCATAGTGATCCAACCCCTCCTCAAACACACTGCATACTGTCAGACTGCCTTTCTTTACCTTACTTAACCTCATCGTCGTGTCACCACAAGTCTTTGGACTGCATGCACTCCTGTTAGCAGTCCCCATCTGCGAGTCTCTCTCTAGTCAATTCCCAAACAAACATAGATGGCAAATCTGTTTAGGATGGACATTTGATCCAATCTTCAGTTTGCATCTGCTCCAGTGACGTCCTGCATCTCCCATCGGACCACCCTTGGCATCGGCATCTGGCATTAATGAGGAAGTAATGAGTTTCCTCTCCTCCTCATTTGGTCATTCATCTACTGTAACTTCCCATTGCCTCCGTAAGAACCACGTCACCGGGAACAAAAACAATTATGACTGGACAGATGGTCCTAAACCCACCAGGCTGTGTCAGCCATTCACAAAAATTCTTTAACAAAATGTCTTTCATTCACTTGCAGGAAAATCATTTTGTTGATTTATTGATGTTTCTCAATCATTTCTGCTGTACAAATTTAACATGCAAGTTAAACCTTTTTTCACACGGCAATGACTAGATTCAGCAATCATTGCAATGCAGCAATTAAAATGCTATTAGATATCTGTGTTTGACAAGTTAAAAACATTTGCTGGTCTGTTCAACTTTAGTTTCATTCCACATTTTCCCCTTGCGCGTGTGTATTCCCCTTGTAATGGCTCTGTGCCCTCCCCTGGTTTGAGAACCACTGCCTTAGACAGACTCGTCAATAAGTGTGTTTTCAAGTGTGTTTGTTTATGCAAATAAAAAAAAAAGCTGAGTGGAAAAAACTAAACTGTAAAAACATGTTAACATATGGCAAAATCAGTAGCGTATCAGTGAAAGCAAAATGCAATGGAAACAGACATAGCAAATACACTCTCTAATCTGTGATCTTGAGATAACAGAATTAAAACAATAATTGAAACAATTAAAACACCACAGCCACTCATAGCTTCAGTATCTGTAAAAAAAAAACGGTTATTTACATCCTGTGCAGAAATTCTCTAAGAGCTCTCATTAAACGAGCTCCTTTTCAAGTTGAACTGGAGAGTCGTAAGCCTATGTCACACAGTGATAAGTCAGTCAGGTGGATAAAAATACACACAACAGTCAAACAAACCTCAAGGTAAACTATTTCCACTTTGGCTCAAATAGCTCTGGAGGCAGTAAAGCTGTTGTCAGTCATAAATGCTCCGGTTCAAAATACACACCGGTTCTATTCTTTGGCGACTTCTGACGTCAGCGTCCCTCTGAGGTCAGACTTCAAGTAGCTTGAGGTTCAGGAATATTTTTGTTAACGGGAATTCCCCTGACATCTTGTTTATTAAACACTGTGTGGTGTGAATCCCATCTGCAAACACACATACACACACACACACACACACACAATGTACTGATGGAGATGTACTGTTGCTCATGCTAAGCTGCAGGCTTTGTGTCCCTCTTTGTCTATATGAAGCACGTTCTTCATCACACTATAAACAAATACTTGCACGTACAATTATGTGCAAACACATCCCAATGACTCTTGCTCACTTGCTTTCTTTATCACTTTTCTCACTCACACACATATGGTCTTGCATTAAATTGTCCCGAGTCGGGCATGTCCTTGCATGCCAAGTGTACTACAGCAGCACTTAATCCAATATATATTTTTATTTATGTTCATTAATTCTTTTCATACATTTGTTCTCTTTCAGCAAATAAGGGCATCACAGCATATGTGGAACTATGTGTTTTTGTTGTGAAATGTTTCTGTCTATCAGTTAAAAAGTTAGGACTTTATATTTTTCTAAATATATCTATGAGAAGGAATCTATGTATTTGAATACTGTATATGAATATGTCATTGTATACTGCGTTGTTGGTGGGAGAGAGTGCAGTGGCTTTGTAGTGTTTTGAGCATGTTTGCACAGCCTACAACAGGCTTGTACCTTCGCAGACCTGGTGAAAATGAATCATGACCATCAATAAAATATACTTGTAAATTTGTCTCTGTCCAATGAGGGCTTTTGTAAAAAAAAACAAAAAAAGAGTACATTAGATTTAAGAACCGAGATATGACTTCTAGCTTCTTGTAAAGTTTTCACAACATATAACCAACAAGCAGGGGTGGAGCGGTGGGGGGCTTCTGGGGCTCCAGCCCCAAATGTTTTCAGAAAAGCTCTGAATCTTTTAGGCTTTTAAAATAACCTCAACTGTGTGTCATTTCCCTTTAGTCTCTCTGACTGGACTGGACCTAAGTTCTGTTACTGGGTAGATATCACCATCTTTTATAGTATTATTTCAAATGGATTCATATGTATCGGTTTTGTCAGCTTAACATTAGTCCTGTGAACTTCTGCTCCAACATAGTTTAATTAGGTTTTAAATTGGTTTCAAGATTATTAATGCTAAAGCTAAATTGATCATCCTCAACGTTTGTTGTGTTATGGTTTCAGAATGATGAAGACAGTTAGATACAAATAGTATATAGGCTCTACAGAATGATTTGTTTTCCTGGGCAACGATAATGTTTTTCCTAAATGATGTACAGACCTTCAGGTATTCTCTTATATAAAATGGCATAAAAAACAGTGCATATAGACCCCCCGTAGGTTTGGCTAAGCCCAAAAGCTTACAGCGTCTGGCTGCATCACTGCAAACAAGTACAATATGACCTTGTTTCAATGTCGAGGTTATATTAAGTCCATGCAAAGGCAATTGGCTGCTCCGACTGCTAGTCCATGATCACTAGAAGAGGTTACATCCAGGTTACATCACCTGGAAACAAATTGTTTGCATTTAAACATTTTACTTTTCATCTAGAGGTGAGGGCAAGAGTAGAATAAAAGTCAACTCCTCACACCGAAATTTCAGGCTAAAATTAGTTAATGTGTTTCTATCTTTGAGAACAGGAAAGGTATATATATAAAACATAACATATATACATACATATGCCAGAAATAAGGATCAGTCTAAAGTTATAATGTGAAAAGTTTATTGTTATAACACTATGTTTGTCACATTTCTTCCTCCTTTCCTCCTTTTATTTTTGTGATCTCTCTTTTTCTGCCCAAAGGTATCACAAGCGAGAGTGCAAATAAACAAACTGAACAGTCCTGTAACTTCACCACTCTGTACATTACTCCACGACTTGAATCATGGAGTCACAAAGTGCTGAAATCACAGACAGTACAAAGAAACACCAAACTATTTTAACCTAAAGATCTAGGCCTGTCGTTTTTAAACAGCATACATGGTAAAAAGGCATTAAAGCAAAATGAAAAATGGAAAAAGTGAAACCCAGAAATGAATACTGCTTCACCTCGAAGGTCTGAATGATTCATAGCGTAGCTGCAGATTAGAAATGTATTTTGGCCCTGAAACGTTCAATGCTTTATAAATCAATAGTATTTTAAACGCACATAAAGCCAGTGCAAAGATCTGAGTACAGGTGTGACGTGTTCCCCTTACTTGTGCTTAGGAGGACTTATCCTGGTTGATATTAATATATGTATTTTAATCTCCTCAGCCAAAGGTGACTCTGACCCAGATAACCCGACGCTGCATATTTCTCCTGCAGGTAGTCAGTGCAGATACTCTACTTGGCAGTCCCACTGTTTCAGGAACAAGAGATAATTAAATGGAATGAGATGTAAATGTTTTTAATCAATGATTAATGGCTACCTGTTCGCTGCTTGACGCTCCAGGCGAGACTCTATCCAAGGCTCCAGTGGGAGGTTCATGCAGGGAGGAAGACACTAATTCTTCAAATCTATATAGTAATTTATTCAAACCGTACATCTTATCATCAAAGAAGACTTTGTCTTATCTGGTTCCTGAATGCAAAGAAGTGATTAAGAGTTTTTAATATTCTTCTTTTATAAGAGGATTTCATGCTGTCTGTCAGAGTAATTATAATTTTAGCATTTTGCACACTAAGTTACTGTGTAATGGTTGTAATGTTGTAATGTTGTAATGTTGTAATGGTTGTAATGGTTGTAATGGTTGGGTTAAAAATGTATGGCCCAGGAATCAATATAATATTCAGGAAATCAATTGTACCTTCTTGCTGCCTGGCTTGAGCAATAGGAATAGGTGAAGCAGGTAAACACCATGAGAGTCAGAAAATAGAGTCATTCTCCCATGAGTGTCTCCATCGTGCACAGTGTGGTCGACAGGACACTGACTTGTCACCATGGCGACACATTTTCCCAGTGCCAGATATTGTCATTTCCGTAGAGCGCTGAAAACACGGGCTCAACACATCGCATGCAATTGATGCCCAAACACACCTGAACAAACTCTATTTTACTCTTTGAAAACACACAGAGGCTAATAATAGGTTAACTTTGAGAAGCACAACAGACTCTGTTACTCTGTTATGCTAAAAATGTGAGGGAGAAATATCTTGAAATATCACCTGACATTTATCATTTAATCAAGTGTGCATGCAGACACACTCACCAACATCTGCCTTTGTCAGCGGGTAATTAATGCTGATTAACCAGTTAATTTGAATATAAATTGACAAAGGAGTATAATTTGGTAAGAAATGTATTAATAACGTAATGATTTCCCGTAAGATACGCCCCAAATCCCCAGGAAGAGCGCCAGGATTCATCAGAAAGTCAGTGTGATTCATTCTCTGGGGACCTTGAATGTTTGTACTAAATTTCAACCCTTAGAGTCATACCATCAGCATGGCTAAAAATGAGTGCATGCGGGATAAAACTAGCATACAGAATTTAATAGCAGTCTACAGTAGCACACATCGTCCCTTTGTTAAACAATTTGATTATACGCCCTGACATTTAGAAAAGCTAACTGCCCCAATAAATCCCCTAATTCTTTAAATCAAACAAACCCAGAGCACGGTTAAGCCAGCCAGCACATGCAGGTCAACACAAATAACAGCTCTGTGACACTGAAACCCCCTGATGTTTAGGCATTGGTGAGTCTGTGCAGCTCTCCATCAACACAAAGCTTGAGAGGAGGCCTGGAGAATTTTCCAATTAGGCGGCATGAGCTCGTCTCAAAGCAGCAGATGAGATGCACAGCCACATCGCTGCAACTTGACATTCCTGACAGCCACTTGTGTGAACTTCCATCTGTCTGCCGTCCATGCACCAGAGGTTTCATGACAGAGCGACAGTCACAGATGCCGTTGTGGGGAATGTCATTGCTGGCTTAAGAATATCTACGTCCTGCTGTCTGCAAGAAATATAACTTCAGCCTAATGAGACAGAGAATGGGGAGGCTTAGGATTTGATTTGTGAGTGCATTTAGAGCCATCCTCTGTCTTGGAGCCACCCTCATTATGTTGCCAGGTTGTTGTTGTTGTTTTCTATTTAACAATGGCCATCATGCACTAGTATCTGAGTGGAATACAGCTTTTAATGTGGCTTAAAATGCGACAGCAGCTAATCCTCAATCGTACATACATTGTCAAAGAGCATATGAACAGCACCTGAACAATTCATGCTGCCTAGACACTGTTTTTTAAGAAATCCTTTTCCAGGACATTATACAGGAGATTTTTGACAATACACGGCAGCACTTGCTCACAAACATACATTTAATTAACTAGTTGACATAGAGTCGACACATTAACCCCAGTTTCATTCCCCCTTCTTTAGTGATGCAGGATTTATGATAAAATGTCTCAGGTTGATTACAGGTAGGTGGTCAGTGGTTGTGGGACACGCTTACATTAGTTCACATCACGTAGAATTTGAGCACTAAATCGGACATATTGGAACTTGAAATCAGAGTATCCCAATCCAATTAAATTTGGATTAGACTTGGAGGACACTGGATTGGTAATTATGATAACTACAATATGAACATGAACATAAAGCATAAGGCTGAGTAACGGCAAATAGCTGTAGCTGCAGCTGTAGGTAGAGCTGATTAGTACATATAATACTTGGTGGATGATTAGGGGGATGAGGGGCAGGTGTACAGGCAGGTGACTCGGGAACAGCAGGGAAACCTTGGGACAACTGCTGGGCGGTGAAGGCATCACAAGGTCCAGCTTAACAGGAAGATGTGGTACATGGCAGAAAAAGATGCAAAGCTATCTGTCAAAAAAGCCTGGTGCTTTTCATTGGAGATTACGCAATAAATATCTGAATCTTGCACAATAAGTGCACACACATCACAACGAAGCTTAGGTGTGCAGCGATGCTGTGCCTCAGTAATGCACCATGTCATCTTTTCTAATCTGGGTTTGACTAATCCCCCAACGTTCCTGATCCAGCCAGGCAGGCTGACAGAGGGAGAGACAAACAGGTCTCCTCGGCTGTGGTGAGTGGATTCACTATGGATGGTTAATTTGGACCCCGCGGTCTCTTTGGCTGCTGGGTGGTGGGCTCTGGAGATCATGTGCACCACTATCATGGTTCTCTCCACTCTGGCTCTAGTACTGCGCCAGCATTTCATCAGCCGAGTCAAGACGTAAGTTATTTTTTTTAATAATTCATTATCCTTTTTTGGTGCTGCCATGTAACTTAATTCAGTTTCATACAGTTAAACAACATCTGAATATGAATTAGTTCCATTAATGTAACACTTTACAAAAGAGCTGTAGACTAGAGACTTGACTGCTTGAATGAATACATGACCTACTGTCAATTAAGACTCAAAATACTGCTACAGTTTTGAACCAGTAGAATATTTATAATAAAACCTTTTGTTTAACTGGTCATGCTTCCATTCACTGTGGAAATATGTACTGGAGGTTATTAAACTTATAATAGTCCAAATATAGAACTCCTCCCACCTATGAATGTTTTTGCAAATAAATCACAAAATCTCACAATTTATTTATTTGTCTAACTGATCAATTATATTTTCTATATATTTGTGGAGGTGATTGCTACATTTATGTAATATTTTGCCTAAAAACTTATATTATTATTATTATATTAATACCTGTTTAATATGTGTGTGTTGTATGTCAGTGTCCATGGTTACTAAACCAACCTAAATCTTTTATTGGTCTGTTGGCCACATCAGAGGGAGACACATGTGGTTTATATAAATTCTGAGCCCTCTTGGTCAACTTAGTAAGAATAAAGGGTACATTTGTGTTTGTGAATTAATACTTGTTCTTTGTTGTTGTTTCATTTTTGTTACACAAATTTGCAGCACCGCCTTTTCATTTTCTAATGAAATCAATAAAAATACAATAAAATAAATCAATAAAAATACATTGACAGCTTGTTTTATAAATATCACACACAATTATCACCAAATTCTGTCCATTTGGTGATTCATGCAGCACTCTTAGGCCAGCGCTGTGTGCATTTACTCTCACTAACTAGAACTAATATAGTACAAGGTTGAAACTGATTTAGTTTAATTCAGTGGTAATCCAAACTTCAGATGTGTCACAGAAAGCCTGCTTTAATCTTCAGTGTATCCAGCACGACTGAGGTTCAGGTTGAAAGCTTTACGTTAAACTCTTTCATTTATTTTTAAATACAGTGAAATGGGTTTACTTTCGTCAGGTGCTCTAGAGATCTTCATAACATTTGAGAATAAATTGCTTGAGATGTGATCATCCTCAGGTTGTCAGATATTGATCTCTTCACACAATTATGTGTAACGAGGTGCAGTGCCACAGTTGGAGATGCATGGCTAATGCCAAAGCATGACAAAGTAGAGACCACTACATGAGTCATTTTCCAAGAGCCCTCAGACGCTCAACCCCCGGGCAGGGTCTGTCCTTGGATCTTTGGCTCATTACAACATTCAACATCTACGGACAGATATAGCAATTATGTGGTGTGAATAACACCACGGCTTGGGGCTTGAATTGATTCCAAGGTGGCTGTGTGCTGGGAAACGAGCTCTGATTACTGTGAAATGTTTTTGTCTTTCTCAGTTAGTCAGCCTCATTGTGACTGTTTTGTCATTGAAGGGAATCTCCGACAGCTGGATGCTATTCTGAGCTGACTAGAAACTGATTGCAAATGTCAAGATTATTATGTTGAAAGCTTCAGTAATGCTGACAGACTCAAAAAGCCATTAAGATGCCCTTTATGAAGGTTGTTTTACATAAATGCCAGAGCAAACAATTAATTATGATATGACAGATTCTTAGGTTTCAGGTATATGCCTTAAATATGACATTTCAGAAGGAGTTTAATATAACATTGTGATACTTTATATAGAAATGGACTGAACAAACTGTAAGGGGATGGATTTAGACACAATCTTTTCTGTTTTTTTTCATAAAATGCCATTGATCCAAATTAGTAATTTACTTAATTATACAGGTACATCCAGAAATAGCCATCCTTTTGTTTTGACATTTAATAATTGTACTGTATGCAGTTGCTGAAAGGTTGAATCATAAATACAGCATGAAGGAACCACAGGAAACCAATTCTGATATTTTTTGATGAGAGGAAAAATATAAGTACAATCTCCTGAGAATTACATTTCCTATTTTGCACCAGCTCAATATACATTGACATATTCCTGTCCTGATGTACTTTATCAACAAATAGATATATTTTTACATTAAACATGCTTGTAACATTTTTACCAGTGTGTAGCCCTTTTACCACAGATTATGCATAATAAGGTATGTTTAAATGTTTTAGATTTTTCATTGTGCTTTTCCAGCCCTCTAATTAGCAGCTTGTTTCCATTATTTCACTACAAAGTGAAGGCCAACTTTAGACCCTTGAGTGAGTAGTTTTTGAGGCAAGACACGCTGATTGAATTTTTTTAGAAACACATAACATTGTGGAGGTGAATAAACATTCTGGATCCTTTACAGTGACCAAGATGCAGTATGTATTGAGTTGCACAGTTGAACAACACTAAGTCCATAATGTTCACCATCTTAGTTTTGTGTTTTAACATGTTAACATTTGCTCTAAACAGCACTAAACACGTGATATAGCTGAGGCTGCTGGGAATGTCAATGGTTGTGCAGGTATTTAATCATAAATCAAAGTACTGGACTAAGAAAAGACCTGATGGTGGCGCTCTATAAAAAAACTTGTTACAATTCATCCTGAGGGGAACATTAATGTCTGTTAGGATTAAAGATCCAGTGTTTAAGATTTAGTGGCATAGCTGCAGTCCAAAACTCTGTCCCTTCACCCTCCCCTTCCAAGTGCAAAGTAGAAATTACAGTGGCCACAAAATGCAAACGCCTCTATCTAGAGCCAGTTTGGTTTGTCTGTTCTGGGCTACTGTAAAAACAGGGCAGTTCAATGTGAAAGACTCCATGGAAGGCAACCGGAGGTGTCTGTAGATAGAAAGGTAATTTAACCTTTTCAAGGTAAAAAAAAGCGCTATGATTCTTATATTCAGGTGATTATACACTAATGAAAACATATCTGTGAATATCATAATATTCCATTTCTGCCAATAAATCTCCCCAAATGTTACACACTGGACCTTTAAGCCAGAGTGTTGGACAAATTATAGTTTTGCTTTGCTGGGGATCACATGTATACTCATGATACATCGTCTTGGGATCATCATCCAGTAGTTGTTGAAATATAGTATTTCATCTGGACCAAAGTGATGGACCGATCAGCTAACATGGCTAGAATTAAAGTTGTTAGTGCTTTCTGGTGAACAAACTATGCGGCAGAAACTCTGTTTCTAAACTACCTTAAACATATGTTTGGCATTTCTGAGCTGAAGTTTCTTGTTATATGTCGGCTGATGATACATTCGCCTACACTGGATGAAAAAGGTCAGGCTGTAATTAGTATGAAAATGTGACATTGATTAAATAGGTTTTATGAATTTAAACCAGTGGTTGCTCAGGAAGTAGAAAAGAAAACCAGAAACGTGCATTAGAAACACACAGAATTAACTTTTTAAACTTTCTTGAATGGAATAAAAGACATCATCAGGGAATCTAATTGGTTTTGTGTGCGTTCACTGAGCTGCACTGCTTTACAAACTGCAGTTATAACACAACTGGACCAGAAAGTGCAGCCTCAAAACAGAATTATTTTCACTGCATTTATATTCAAATCAGTAGGACATTTTGTTAAAGAGACTTTGAAATAAGAATAAGACACAGACACAAACACACGCTGACCAGCACATTTGTCTGAGAGTGTGTGTGACACATATCCCCACCCTCTCTGTTTGACAGCAGATTACTTCCCTTCTTATAATGGTAATACTTATCCCACCATTATCACTTGCTCATCACCTTCACAGTTGTTTCTCATCTTTTTAATTTTTAGTCTATTATTATAACACACTGCTCTGACCTCTCCCTCACCTCCATCTCTTCTTCCTCTCAGCTTTCCAAAAGACTCGGGGGAGGAGGAGGCGCCTATTGTGCAGAGCAGCAAAGACTCTGAGAAGTGAGGCTCAGTGTGTAACCAGGCATCTGCCTCAGGTAAACAATGACAATTATAGCGTTGTCTTGTGTCACCTGTTCACACATGGCCAGGTCATTTTTGCTGTTTTTTTGTGACAAACTGGGACGTCAGTGTCGACCCACAGCTTTTTCAACAAATCAGTCAGAGACTAATCCACTCTTTGCAAGTCTTCCTCTTTAGTAGCAGCGCAGAACGATTTAGACTGTGCACTTTTCCTTTTGCTCGACAGGATCTGTGACTCATCAACCACATCTCAAATTGTGTCTACTCATGCAAAAAGGTCTGCTGTTGCTCTTGTCTGAGCCAACTAGAGCCTCTGAGAGCAGGATTAAAGTGTCTGACAGTACCAACAGATTACTCATTGTTCTGAGTTAAACTACATGTACTGTAGGTAACCCTTTAACATTTGAATTCTCCCTCTTTCCCAAGAAGGGCAACGTCTTTAATGAATCTTCTTGTGGCCAGTTGTATAAGAATTAATATCTCAACTATTTAGTCTGTGCAGTTGATACAGTAATATTGGTACAATGGGTGGATAAAATGTCTTTCCACCCACTTACACTGACTTACCAGTTTGTTCTGTATACTTGACAAGGAGAAGGACAAATGAGCTTCTCCTGCACAAAATCTCTGTCTTTTATGACCAACTAACTAACTAAATAAATCAATCAATAAAAAGATATATAAATCCATTCATTCATTCATACAGATTTAGAAAAATAGCTGCACTGTGGTTAAGAATTCACCACAACGATCAAGACATCAGGTGAGTCTTTTGCTTTTTCACCACCGGAGCGTTTCTCCTTTAGTTTTTTGTTAACATAGTGTTGTCTGTGCATTCAACTACAAACTACTATCTACTAAAAACAACAACATGATTCAGAAACTATCTCATATAACACTGAAACCACATTTAGTCTAATGAATGTGTTTTATCTCTCTGCAGATATTTAGGCAGCGTTGAAATATCAATAGGCTCAATAGGTACATGTTCAACAGGTGACGCCTGCATTATTGTGACCAAACCTTCATACTGGCATCCTCTAATGTTTGTAACACAATGCCAGTAACAAATCCATTATTCAGAAACACAGCAGTGAAAGGTATAAATAGAATTTAAAGATGTGTATTTCATCAGCTTTCATTTAATGATAATGGGACTATAGTGTGGCCACACAATGTACACTGCCAGCCTACATCTTCTTAGCAGAATATTGTCGATCCAGCACACCGCTACCACCCACAGTTTGCGTCTGTATTGAGGAGTATCAGTTTCTAGATTCAGGTTACACTGTAGGAAACTGTGTTGGAGTGGGCGGACGTGGTCAGTGCAGTGATCCAACGCGCTGGCTTGGTGACACACTGCGTGGACGGGGACATCATCATGGCTAGGAGGGGAGACAGTTGGGCAACTGATGCATGTATGCCAGAGCACTGGAGGGATGTGCGAGAGTGGAGCATAGAGAAGAGACAAAACCACAGAGTAAGACCGTCTGTAACCTCTGAACCAGTTCTGTCCTGCTCGTTCTCTCTCTGTCTTCACACACAGTAGCCTAATGGTGTTGTTTTCTAGGAACAGTCTTTCTTACAGCTCTTGCACATATCCGTGAACAGAATGAACTCTGAGCTGCTGTTTGTTGTTTTCCCCCACAGTCAATACTAAATCATTTGGACACTATGTTATGTATTCTATGCACAGCGCCTATAACTGTCCAGCAGATCAATCAATGCCAGTGCTCCTTCACTTATCTGTAAACTATGCTGCATTGTGTAATAGCTCCATTAGTTGCTTGTATGTTTTACAAAAATGAGTCCTGTTCAGTTCCGCTGTTTGTGGAGCTGCGACAATACATTTATCCACAGGGATCAATAAAGTTCTCTCTTCGGAAGCAACATGTCATGCATTTAGTGTTACATTTGCTCATTTATTATATGACCCTTCATAAGTAGTGTGTGGGACATGATGTAATGTTTGCAGAACTGTTTGTCTTTTGCATAACACAGTAAGTCAAGATCAATACATTAACAGACTTTATTTTGATACCAAAGTTCGTCTCCGTGAGGCAGGAATCTCACAAGTTTTTAGAACTAAAACTTCTCTCCCCTTAATGCTTTTAAATAAAGTTAATATTAAACGCACACAATCTGTACTAATAAATGTATTCATTAATTTACTTGAATGAGCTGATTAACACATATGTGTTACATAAGAGTCATTATGAAGCACCATTACACCATGCTGTGCTCCCAGTTAATAAAATAAACATGACTTATAACAAAAAAAAGGACAAATCTGCCTGTCGGCACATACCCGTCTCCAGCCATGTGTTAATTTTTAATTTATTTGAAAAGTAAATATCCAAAATAAATTAATAACTATCTTCCTGAGTGCCTGACAGACAGCCATCGCGTTCTTCATAATATGACTTGACTACCACATGTGTTTCCAGATAAACACAAAGCTATTTTCTCCCTTTTGGAACATTCAGTTTTTTAAGATAGTAGAGAATCAGCATCCTGCTCAGTGATGGCAGCTTGAACCTCAACAAGTTGGTTTTCAGCACCTCTTCTTAACAGGATCTCAATTCTAGATAAGATAATTTAAGGTAATAATCTGAAAGATTTTCATTTAAAGGTCCAGTGTGCTACATTTAAAAGGATCTATTGGCAGAAATGGAATACAATATTCATGGGTATGTTGTCATTAGTACATAATAGGAATCGTTATGTTTTTGTGACCTTAGAATGAGCCGTTTTTTTATCTATAGATGCCGCCACCAAGCATGGAGTCCACCATGTTGAGCTGCCATGTTTCTACAGTAGCCCAGAAGGAACAAACCAGATATCATCAAAGTTACTCCTTCACACATGGAAGGGGACGGTGATGCAAGGGAGTTCTTATCTACAACTACACCACTAGATGTCAGTAAATCACTGGACCTTTACGTTACTGATCATGCTAACCTAATACTTCCAAACTGTAGTATTAAGCCGCACCTGCTGTTACCACCAGTAACGACAGGTGTCACTAAATCCACCAGGACAGGAATCTTAAGATTTGTAACTTTAAACAGATTCATCAGCCTAAATCAATACAAAACTAAATTTAAAATGACACATTTTCTTAATGTTCCTGAAAACTCCTGAAAAAGTGTTTCTTTTAAAAACTAAAGCTAATCTGCTCCATTGGGGCTCTGTGTGCGTGGTGTGATCACATTTGATTGACGGTGCTGGTAACAAAAACAAGCCACCCACCAACTGTTATCAGATTTTGATTAAAATGTTGTAAATTTCTTCTTTTTCTTTTTCTTCTTCTTCTTCTTCTTCTTAATCTAGTATAAATTCATTGTACTCGATTGAGTGCCTTTAATTTTATTTTATGATACATTTAGCCTTTAAACATCTGTCCAAAAACAAGAGACAATTGGTCTTCTAGTCTGTGTTGTTTTTGATCAATTAGTTCTGTGCTCTGCAACTAAAACTAATCTAAATTAAACAACATGTCTGTTAGAAGTGCAGAAAGGTTGAGCACTTCCTGGAGCTTCTTAAGGTTTTATTAACCAAAATATGAAACCACTCTGTTCGCTCAGATCTGGGTCTGCTGTCATCAAAAAGTACAGGATCCAATTCCGCTTTACAACATCTCTCTTTAAATGATGAAATACTTCATTTGTTGCTTTCCTTTTAACTTCTTTCCTCCCTCCTTCCGTCCCTTCCTCCCTCTCTCTCTCCTCCACACAGATGTGGGTGTTACATGTGGAGGGTGTCCTCAGGTCCATGGTGAGACAGCTGGTGAGTTCATCTTAGTCTTTAAAAAAATACTGAGTGTAGTAATATGTCAGGATAGATGAGCGATTTATCTAAGAACTTGAAAGATATAAATAATAAGTGCAATGATATAATCTTTTCTTTGCGGTTTAAATGTGTTTTTGAACTAGCGTATAGAGCTTATTGTGGGCAGTGGTGAAGTGTCAAACTAACTTGCCCTCTCTCTTCCCAGAATGCTTCTCTGGAGAAATATCCTCGTAAAAGTGGAAACAGCTCAGAGTGGCATCCTCCATCTTCTTTACACCACAGCAGGTCTCTCTCCAGTCAGCCAGCTGATCCATAGATGTGGCTTTAGATGTTCTTACACTATTCGAAGGCAGAACTCAAGAGAATTTAAATATTTCTGTCCCAAACAGACACTTTAAGTCATTCCTGTTGATTGATGTTTACTCGTCTGGTATATAAAATAGGGATGTCACCAAAGATTAGGCGCCTGCAGCACCATGGCTTTTGTGTCATGAGAACTAAAAATGCAACATATATTTGTTTGAACCCAGTTTCCTTCGCGAACCTGACTGCTTCAATCACTCATGCAATGATCGTTTCTCTTAAGCTGTTGTTTGACATTCACGAGAGGAAAGTAATTTCACACCAGAGTGTATCATTACTCAACTGTCCCATAAGCAATGAGAAATCGTTTCCAAATTGTAATTTTCTGGAATGACTGCTAACGTGTTGTCATTACTCTGCTGCCAGACCAGAAATAAACAACTGTTTTCTGTGATGTACATGGCCTGTTAAGTCTTTATTTAAAGGGAAATCCACACCCCACACTGTCATCAGCCCAAAAACAAGCCACCAGGGTTGTTCTTTTGTATCATTTGACATTTTGCTCCCTGCATGTAGGTTCTCAAGCATATCGAATGATGACCAAATTATTTAGTTCTACGAATGTACAGGATCTCAGCAATTAATGCTGTTTTTTATCTTCGTATGAGCTGGACCATTTCCTTTGCCGAACAAATGAAATCTTGTTATTTCCTGCCTGATTACATAAATGATTGAATCCTTGCTGATATTAAGGTTTGTTTTCCTGTTTGTTGTCCCGGGGACACCAGTGTGCATTCAATTTACATTCCACTGGGACCAACAGGCCACAGAGTTATTTTTGAAAAGGGACCAAAACCACCACTGTGACAGGAATATGGCAGTGTTATGCATCTACTCTATTAAGAACTCTATTATCGTAAATGTCTCTGTTTGCCTTTGTGACAACTGTGCACCTAATCCCTCCAGCCATAATACAAGCAGAAGCCAGGGGAACTAATGTGCCTAATATGTCCCCAGGAACATCGCCTCTGCCAAGCGTGCACTCTAAATCCGCCCGTGTAATCAAGGAGGCATAGGACACAAATATCTGCCGATAGTGGCGGCAGCACTTCCATATCTCGCTGTTGCCTCCTGCCCTGATGAGCCTGTCTGACTCAAATTACAAGGTGAAAGCAGTGCTTTTGTGAGCTTGGTAAAGTAGAGCAGCTTGGGTAATGAGTATGGCCTTCCTGCACACTCTAGCAGACCATGGGAGTTAATCTAATGATACAAGAGAAAGCCATGATTTCTAATGGCCTCAGAGAGAGAGAGAGAGAG